GAAGTAGTTTCAGAAAAAGCTCTAGAAAGTATTCGATGAAAAAATATTTAGTCTCTTATTGAACTATATTTTACCAGTGTTGCCATCTGTTTAAGACATTTTATTATAAAATGTGTTTAAGTATAATACAACAAGTTCAGAATGAATCCAAGAAAGTATTCGGTAAAAGCTTTGCTTATGTATGTATATTTATTTCAGAACATAGTTGCCACCTGACCAAAAAGAAAAACTATAAAATATTAAACAATGTGTTTAAACGCAAATGGTTAAAGAATTCCCTCTGTAAAGTCTTCAGAAATCCTTTCATTTAAACAAATTTAAAAAATGAGTTGCCATGAATAAGAATTTTTTTATAATTCTTTATCTACTACTTAAAAATTACTTTTTTTTTTAATATATTCATAATAAACAGAAACTATAAATTGTGGCTTTAATAAATAAAATTAGTTTCTAAGAATCTAATAAATTAAAAGAATATTACCAAACGTTTGAGCTGAGAAAATTACTGCCAATAAATGAGATTTATTATTTAGATGTTATAATCCAATACATATCAGAACGCAAATGAAATATTGCCTTTAAACAATGTTTTTATATTTTAGCATTTTTATTCTTTAGTTTATTGTTTGTATTGCAGCATTTTATTACTTAATCACTGAAGGTAATGACTGCTATCTTTATTGTTTGTCTTCACAACCAGCAAATTGTTGTTCTGACACCATGTAAATCATTTTATCACGCCGCAAAGCTGGTGTAGGTTGTTATTGTTCAGAATCGTTCTGCATTCCATTTGGCCATTTAAGAATAGTATTGCAGTTCTTGTTCTTAATTTTGCTATCCTTTTCAGCCGTAAGATAATTTATGGATTGTCGCTACAAATTTAATGATCGTGATATGTCTACTGAAGCAGGTTTATTAATTTAATATAAATTTTATTTAATATTCATTTTATTTTTCTTATTCGCGACCATTGATCGTTGAACCTAACATTTATTGTTGTAGAAGTAATCTAAATTATTGCTAGTTTGTGAGCGAACTTTTTGTTCATAAGACTTAGTAATTCACATGAAGACTAACGGCGCTTAGAAGGCGAAGAACCTGCAATATTACTGCAACTTTAGTAGGAACAGCCCCTTTATTCTTATTGGAAATTGTATTATTTAGAACACGTCTGCTTACAAACCTAATAATTTTAATGGTTAATGAGAACTCTGTAATTTGTTCTGATCTAACTTTCACACACCTCCTTCCATTACTTAAATAAATACAAGACTATATTCCAGAAATGGAAGCCTTATTGTTGCATATAGAATATAATTGTTGATATTGGCAGAATGTGGAGAGATAAGTGAAAAGATATTCATACACACACGTTCATCTGCGCGGAAACTTAGAAACTGTTTCAGCATTAGAAAACAGAAGATTTACGATCAGTGGTCTGATAGTTAGGAAGCGTTGAATAACTCTTATTCAAACCATTATCTAACACCAGAAACGCGATTTATGAGATTAGTTATGTTATAACTGGTTATCTTAATTATTGCAGGTTCTAAGGGTTATAATGAATGAGGCTAAACTGAATAAAATAAGAGCCTGAAACTGTAAATACTTATACTGTTTCTGTTTGTCTGAATTTCTGAACATTTGCAGTTATTTAATTTAAATATTATGGCATTCATTTTGGTACAAAACAATTGATATAAACAACATTGGTTTATAGTGAGCCCAGTACTTTTATTTTGATTTTTCAAGAGACTTTTTATTTAGATATATTAAAGGTATAATGTATACTATTGCAGTGTAATTTTGTTTGAAAAGTGTAATCTGTTCTGCAACTTTGACTTACTCTAAATAATTATCAATCATTTGTTGATTTACTAATACTAAAATTTTTGTAATAATATTTAATACATCCGATTCCTTTGATTACTACTGATATATAAATATATATAATGTTAATAATTGAGAATAAACAACACTGAATAATGTAAAATAGTAAATTTAAATTTGTTTAGTCTTATTATTATATTATTCTATATATTTATCACTAGTCTGATTATCACAACCGCACCTTTGTTGGAATGTTTACTATATGAAAATTTATTATATCTTCAGTTAATGAGTAGCTTCACATTTATATTAATAATGATAGTTTATGAGTTTAATTGCCTCCATTCAATGATGAAAGAAACCAAAAATTTATTATTGAAATGTGATGCCTAATAATTGGGGTGTAAACAATAAATTAGAGCGCTACCATTCTGGTTTAGCTTTGATTTTATTTTTATTCGTATTATTTAATTTGTTAACGATGAATAATTTATTTATAAATGTTTATAACGTCTGCGTCTGCGCATGTGTCTGATCAAGTTTGTTTATTTTCATTCTACTGTTTCTAATAGCAGCCCACAACAAAATGATTGTCTGACTAATGTGCGGCGGAGTATTCTGTGGATTATGTAAAGGTGTTTTGATTAGAGCCCACAACTTTGAGATAAGCAGTTGTTAATTTTGTGTTTAACGGTTATGAAGTTCTGTGAAATACAATAATAAAACAACAAAGCGGTGGTATACAAAAGTGAATGTAAATTGATAAATGTGTTATGGAATAATTTTAAAAATGTACGTTAGAAACTGACGAATTCTGGTTTTGAGAAAGGTAATTACCATTTTAGCTTTTCTGAACTTTAAGTATTTTATGAATATATTTAATAAAATTTATAATCACGGCGATATTTAAAAATAATAATAAGGTATTATATAAAATGTATTTGGCGTAATTATAATTTTCATTGAAATTATGGCTGAAAAGGTTTGTATAACCTCTAGTTATTTAATTGATGGCTGAGCGCTGTCATTTGTTATTTAAAAGTACGCGGTCAATAACATAATGATTTACCCACATAAATAACTGGAGCAAAAGGTCAAGAACATCAAAATAAATGAACTTAGGTCTATACAGTACCTATATATATGCCACTGCGTATATGCCTATTATATATTGCTTTTTATGTATATAAATGTCTGATATTGGAAAAGTGTACAATCCAAATCTTTGGGAAGAAAAGTGTCACCTGAAATTAATCAAGAATAGCCACAACGCCAGATGAAATATCGCAAAAGAACGTTCACGGTGTGCTAACAATATGTTTTGCTGCCTGTTGTCAAATTGTGAATATAAAGGGCAATATGTTTATCGCTGCGCGTTGCGTACACACGCTTCAAGCAATGTGCGCGCTGTATATAAACATATATATTTGCGGTATATATGTGGTTGATATTTATATTGCAGTATATATAGGTTATGTTACAAAATAATACGGAAGAAGCAGGTATAGGCATCAACTTATACGACATACCAGTCTGCGCTTGCACCCTGAAATTTGACGGCGCTTTTACAAAGTCCAAAGCCGCTGGGTTTTCTATGCAGCGTGTTGATAGGACCTGCAGTTATTGCCACATATTGCGCCATATGAGTTTTGAAACATGCCTTGTGCGTGTTTCGATATTAAGAAATTGGCATGACAGGGAAGTTGATAGTTGTTCAAAGAAAATAAATGTTAGATGCATTCCCATAAAATGCATCAAGTTGTACGGTTTTGGTTGTACTGAAAAGGATTTGAATGTGATATCGCATTTATTCTTTATTATAAAGCCGATGGATTCAGAGATGAAGGCGAATGAAGATGTATAATTAAATGAAAATACAAATCAGAAAGAATCCATCAGTGATAATGTATTGTTCTAATATAGATGGTATTAAAAGTAGAATGTTGTGGTGATAGAGCGACTAAATTGCTCATAGATAACTGTGTTTATGTTTATTTAACATAGCTGAAACTACAAAATCTATATGAAAATTTAGTTAATGTTGTCATATTATGGTAGATCTATAGTTGTTGTTAAGATAGCCAATAAACATGATATAATTACCAAAAACTTAATTAGTAATTTATGATACATTGTTATGACATATATTCACAGGTTTTCTTTATAAATAATGTAAAATGAATTGGTTTAATGAGTATATGAAATAGATTCTAGCTATTTGGAGTCATAGAAAATAAAATTATTTTTAGTATTTTTGTGGTATTCTAAAGATGTTTAGAAATATTTTGTGTTCATTCTGATTTAGTATTAGGTTATATGGTATTTTATCTGATTGGAGTAGCTTGTCAGATTTAGAATATTTAAAGATAAATACTTAAGCCACAAAATATTTAGAAATATTCATGATCACCAGAAATTAATGGGTTTATTTATATAATTAATTGAGGTTAACTGAACTTATGTGAAGAAAGTCTTTAAATTTTAACTGATAAAGAATTATATCTTATTTGATAATAAAATGGTTTGTTTATTGAAACTCTTTCAATACAAATTTGAAAAAGGTATTTATAAAATCATAGGTACACATACTATCGCTGAAGTAGATTATATTGTATTTCAATATAAATATAAATAGGTTGTTAAATGTATCCAATTAGTCGTATTTATGATTAATTATTATTCAAGTAAGAATACTATACACAATGAATTTAGAGCGACCACTATACTAATTTTTATTAATATGAGAGAGCAGACGTATATGTGTTCTAAATATAAATATTTTGAGTTAATTTATGGGTTTATATGGAAATTAGTTAGAAATCTTTTCATTTTGTACTGTAATTGATCTAATGATTCTACTGACTGCCAGACCTGTAGGCTAAGATGTTATTTAGACTGGTTAAATCCGTATGAGATGTTGTATGATTTAGCACTACATATCACACTCTATACATGTAAGAGAGAGGAAATGCGGTAAGCACTATAATCAAGGCAGCATTGTGATAAGGTCATTCATAGAGATATATAGGAACACATATCTGTTTGGCTGTAAATATTTATGTAAATAAGATAAAATTTTCATTACATATTCTGATTATGCCAACGTACTGCTGAGTGATATAGCCTGTTTCATTGAAAATAGGCGATGTGTGGCTTTTATGGCTGTTAACATGAACGAAACTAATGACGCGGAGCGCATATATGTCATACCAGAAAACGTAATAATTAGAGAAACAAAGCCAAATGCCACCACGAAGATAATGAGGAGAAGTGTTGTGAGAGAGAGATGAAGTGCACTGCAAACTGTGCGTTAGCGTGCGAAGGCGCAGTGTCATTTGCATATTTACCGAAGTTATCATTGAATATCCAAAAGACCTTATGGGTCACCTGTAATTATCATTACTGTAGCATTTAAAGCAGCTATATTGTTATTGGTAATCATCGCTTACTCACTTGACTTCAGTTTGGACTGGCATGCCATAGTAATAACTAATTTGTTTGACCACCAACACCCAGTGATGATATTTAAATAGCCATGAACTTTTCTGTTGCCAGATAGTGCTGCCATAAGATTTTTGATTTTATATTTTCTTTATATATTTCATTTAGTGTTTCAACTGAATTATCGCTCACTTATACGCTGCATGATTTCTGCTCACTGTTCTATATTAATACCTCGTAAATTTAACTGAAAATTTGTATTTGAGTTCACCTGGGACCCTAAATATGTGAATCGTTATTATTTGTCAGAAATAAAATTATTATATCTGACACTTAAATCCGCAAAATCTGATAAACTTTGAAAAGATATGCTTAAATATGGCATTTCGCCTGGTGATAAAGATAACCACCAGTAAAGTGGTAATTTGTATAATATAACTGAATTATAAATCGGCGACCGATGTTGATATGAATGATTTCTAGAGGTAAACCCCACAGTACTTTCAAACTAATTTAATAAACTTATATATTACTTATGCTGGTGATGTAAATAAATTTACTACAGTATAAATATATGTTATGTTCTAAAGAGATTATATTGAGGCGTAAATATAAAACTACGTTAGAAGTGCAACCATTGCTAAATTACTTAATACAAATTAAAAATGATTCTTATAAAAGCCTGTTAAAGAAATGAAGATGAAGAGATTCAACATTTCGCGGCATATTAGATAATATATAATCACTGATCAATGATCAACACAAATTTTTCTAGAAATACTTGCCTCATTATAGGAACTGAAGTGGTTACGTAGTAAATCTGAATCATGTGTTTAATAACTTGTTATGTTCATATAGTATGTTTAACTGGCCTGATCCATCTTATATTTAATTGTTTAGCGATATCGACTTACTCTATTATGCTATGATTTGTTCAGACCAGCCAGACTGTCAGTTTGCGGGTGAAAAAGACAGTTTGTATATCTATCTGTAAAGTTTTTGTCACCTAAGATGGTCACTGACTTTATATCTGAAACATCATTGATTTTAATTTCAAAAGTCTTTAATAGAAAGTCATAGCTCATGTAGATGTGGAATGATCGTCGGTAATAAACTTAAAGTTTTAATGACTCTGTGGTTCATTTAATAGCTGTTGTAGGTTAAAGCATAACTCTAATCGTAACTGAAATGTTGAGCGGGATATTGACTGGCAATGCTGTTATAGGTCAGTTTAATGGATTACTTTATTGTTTGTAATGTCTGATTTGTGAATAAAATACTATTAAACTAGTTCAAAAGAAGCTGTCACCTAGATTTGCATTAGACTTAAACACAGGCAAAAGGTAGCTTTGATTTATTGTTGTGCCCGGATTTTGAGCAGATAACCAGAGAGGTTTGAATTTGTCACCTTCTTCCATCATGAGTTTCTGATAGAGAGTACTTACTGAAGCGCTTGTTGTTTCTACTCTCTGCGATGCTTTGCTAATGTCGATTCTTAAATCAGCTGAACCAGCCTTATACACTTCATTTTTAGCCGCCACCCCAGCTTCTTTTTTTAGTTTTTTAAAATATTACTTTTCTTGAAAGTAAACGAGATCAGCAGGACAATTTTCACTTGATTATCACATCATGACTGTAGCAATTATTCCATATTGTGCGATAATACCATGACGCTTACGGGTGATACTCGAATTCAAAGATTGGGCATTTTTCACAGCGTTCATAACTCTTGTTGATTTTTTGTAACCATTCCGACTGTTGTTTCCGGTAGGTCCAATTTCTTTGTCTCTCTCGTGTTTTTCATAGGTTTACACCACGGAAAAGGCCGGAACCATTGCACCAGTGAAGGACCGGTTTTTTAACACCGTTGGTAATCGCGTGCGAGTCGAAATTTTTTTACTTTTTTCTTTAATTGGATAATTGATCAAATATTTTGATTATATCCCAAAATTCGCATTTTATATAATATATTGTATGTGATATACTTGTATGATATATTTCATGTTCATCATTTGGCTGAAATACACTCAGAGGTTTGCTATCTCTTGAAAGAGACCTCTTGTTTTAAAGAGATGCATCTTTATTTCTTCGGATCATCGAGTCTCTGGTTTTATATTTTTCCGCACGCCAATAAAAAATAGCGCATGCAAAACTATGAATCATACAAAATTGCACAATCATTTTTACACACTCCTCTTTGCACTTCCGGTGTAGCACAACACAAAGCAGCACACTATTGATTACCAAAATTAAATGTTGACGCCATTGGCCAAAAATTCAATACAATTTTTAGCCACGCATTGAAGGCAGTCAAACGTAGAGCGGAAATTTGTCGCCAATTGTCAACTTTTCAAAAGGTTGAAAACAATAGTAGCAGAATGTCAATGGGAGCCGACTTTGAACGATTTGTGACGATTATCGATCGCAGGCAACGATCAATGAAAGAATGTTTCCACAAATGTGTATTTCCCAGACAATAAACGGGCACGTCGCATGCTGTCATTGGAATCGCATTTTGGGTCAATGACAAAAAACAACAACAACAATAAAATACGCGTACAGAAACACACATAAATCAGGCATTTAACAATCGCATTGCGAAATTAGCGCTAAACAAATTTGAGAATGCAAATCAAATCAAAACAATTGCAAATTTCTGTATTGACTACGAGAACACACATACACGCGCGCATAAATGGACTTTAGCGATATGCGAAAATTGTTTAGCGCAGCGGGTGACGCGCTGCTGTTTCGGGGTGCGTTCATGCGAGCCGTCGTTGGCGATCAAACCCGCGATCGATCGAACGCATGTGAGCTCCACAAAAACAGTTAGTTAGAGATTGTGCGCTTGTGTGTGTATTGTTGTTGTGTATGGATATCGGCGTTGTGTTGCTGATATTTTTGTTTTCAATAAGGGTTAGGCTGATGTGCGCACACATGTCTTTCTTTGCCGATCGGCGCCGATCAAATGATCAGATGACAAAATTGATAATTTTCAATTTGAATAAATTCAGAGTGTTTGCATACAAGTATATACTTGTATGTAGGTGTATGTGTGTTTTTTTGTCTGCATTTAGGCGTGCACACCGTTCACAGCGCGCCGCTTTGTGCTGAAGCAGAGATTTTTCATCGTTTTTCGATCATGTTCGTTCACTTTATTTTATTATAATTTTTTTTGTCATTGTTGTTGTTGCAGTTATACTTTACTGCATGTGTAGCTACGGTTGACTAGCTGGAATTGATTTATGCGCCAGTTGGGTGGTCGCGCACCAGCGCAATCGGACGCGCCACCGCTGCGCCTGGCGAACGGACACACACACGGTTAGACACAACCCACGAGCGTGAGTGAACGCGTTGCAGGCGTTCGCCGATGCGATGGCGTTTGCTGTTGAGTTTTTATTTTAGCGGACTCTTGATTTTTATTAATTTGGATTTTAATTACCGCGCTGCTTGTGAATTTGCCAGTTTGGCCTTTTCATTGTGATCGCATACATATTATATATAATATCCCTTTGTATGTATGTATATTTCTGCAAGTGTATTTGCGTGTACACTGAATATTAAAACCTTTATTTTTTGCTAATTTTGTGGATGATAAGACCTGTAAAGTTCACCTATAGAGAAGACAGCATAATATATTTGTCACAGTCATTGGTACCGTATTCTGAGTCATTTTAGAAATATCCTTCTTCCCTTGCTTTGGTACAGCTGATTATTTGGCTCATAAATAGCGGGTGAACATTCCTTTTATGAAATGCACTCAAGACTAAATTTAACTCGAACGGTCCATTTAAGCTGCACAGACAAACCGAATCGATAAAATTAATGTGTGTTCATCAGCTGTTCGTTTACGACTCTAAAGCTTTATTTGGCGTTTTTTTTATATTAGGCTAATAAACTCAAAATCCAACCTGTCGTGTAACGGAAATTTAAGCTACCGATTACGAGTATATAGAAAACCAATCGGAAGTTTCAAAAACGGGCATGGCTAGACGAAAAACACGCCTAGTTGCTACATCTAAATTTACTAAGTCAGTTCTTTTCTTTTCAAAGTACAGAAGTGAAAAAAAAGCCGCCACAACTCTCATGTCCAGGAAAAATTTGTTATTCGATTTTTGTTTTGGTTCAACACAGGTGCCCGATTCGGTCATTTGTTATTATATTAAAGCCAAACAAAATTAGTTGCTCCTAGCAATGTTTTCGCGGCGTTGAATGTTGCACGTCAGCGGTAATTCGTAATCGGCGTCTAGGCTTGCAACAAAGCGAACATTTCGCTCCAGCGCATATATGATGTGCAAATTAAACGCGCCGCAAGCGCCGAGGCGATGAAATATTTGCAACAAAGTAAGCACAACTCACCAAAATGTATATAAAAATGTAAAATTAAAAAAAAACTCAAATAATAACTCAAACTCCGTTTCCATGTGGCAGCAGGCTACGCAGATTGTGGCGTCGCGGCTGAAAACTTTTAAAATTTTTTTATTGATAAGTTTTTGTTATATACTTATTGCCTCGTTCACTGCGTATTAGCTAGATGGATAGCCTCACATTTGCCGCAACTGCCAAAATAAAAATTTGGTAAATTTTTGATTTTACATTCCCTTGGGGGAGAAATTTTGCGCTGGGGAATTTTTTAGATTCATTTTTTTTTTAACTTTTCATAAATTTTTAGTTCTTTTTGACTCATATTTGCCAGCACTTTTTTGCTTTTGCAATAATAACTGAAATTAGCAAAATTGCCAAAGTTTGACTTTCATGATTTATCTGTAATTTTGCATCACAAACCAATGACTGAACACACGCACACACACCAACATACCTGTATATTTGTATGTGTGTGAGCGCTTGCAAAAGTTCAAACAGACGAGCAAGCGCGCCAAGACTCGCCCGTGTGTGTCAAGCAAAGTGTTGATAGTGTTGAACGCCGCGCTTTCGGCTAACTCGTCGCCCGCACCGCAGCGTTTCTGTGTTACAAGCACACATATTTACACATGCATTCGCGTACGTTCACAGCTAATAGTCGTAGACATCTCCATGCACTAGTAAATGTTTCATGTTCCCCCAAATTATTGTTGTTACGATTATTTTCCAACGCTGTTGTTGTTGCACTGGTTTTAATGCTCCGCTTTGAATGCTAAACGTTTCGGGAAAGCCCAAAAAACCAATCAATTTTTTTACACTTGCGGGTGTTGTTACCGTAATTCCAACTGTCGACGAAAGTTAGTTGCTGCATGGTATTTTATCTTTTCGCTTTTTTTTTTATTTTGGTAGCACATTACCCGCATGCCTTTGCTGTCGCTCCACCACTCTCTCTTCCTGCTTTGCTCTCTCTCACACACACATATATCTCGTGCCTATGCAACTCTGCTTGGCCACTAATCTCAATGCCGCTTTCCTCGCCAACCTTGCAATTGCTGTTAGCTGCCGGTGTTTTTACTGTTATTTCTAAAGCTTTTCATTACTCTCACTCAAAAGCACCGTTATTCTGCTTCATTTCTCTTTCATCAACCGGCGTTTGTCGAATTTTTTTTCGCGGTTTCTTTGTGCAACACAGCGCCCTCGTCGCACTCGTAATATGTAATCTATTCAAATTTCTTGGCACATGATGCAAAAATCCACTCAACTACGTAATATTTGAAGTGTACAACAAAAACACTCTGGCAAGTTGTTTTGTTGTAATTGTGGTTTTTCATTCCGTTTTGGCGCATTGAAAACTTTATAATTTTTGCTTATTCGATTATGTCGGCTATATTTCCGTAATTTTTTCGTTGTTGTGTTTTTCGTTTTTTGTTTTTATTGCTATTTGAGAGCAAGCGGAAAGCAGTTGCATGCATTCTTGCCTTTGGCGGTCAGGTTAAATATCAGAAAAATCAGACAATAATTGACAGGCATAACATATGAGCATGTGCTCCGTCTTGTCTACATACATACTTACATCCTTACATACATATATTAATGCATCAGTATTTGTGTTCACTGCAGATTTGTATGTGCGAGTGGTGTGACTTTTATATTTATTTAGAGCGGTCTACGTTTCCAATTATTATACAAAGTTATGATAGCATAAGAAAGGGGATTTAGTTGTAAGAGTAAATTAAATTTTTTTATAAATAATACACTACATAATTCCAAATATGAGTATCAATAAAATTTCATTGTTTCTATTCGATATTGAATAGAGGTAATCGGCTTTTCAAAAAACAATTTTCTTTCATTTCCAACCAATTTCTTTTTCTACTAATTTTCAAACAGATGGCAATTCTTTTGAAATTATTAGTTTGAAAACCGCTGTTAAAATGCTTTACTTAAGTTAATTGTTTAAGAAAATAAATAGGTGGCAACTACCTGCAAACATTACTTTTCGTTTGATATCCAAATTCCTTCTCAAAATTATTAGCAACTTTCCTCTGACAGGTTTTCAGTTAGATATCCATGACATGCAACATCCAACCATCGGCGAACATTATGCAAATCGGTTGATATAAAAATATAAATATTTGGCTATTCTCTTCAAAAATTACTTTTAGCTTGATACCCCCCTTGATAAAAAATGTATACAAATCGATTTGGTCCTCGCTTTATTATAAATACTTCACATTGATAGAGACCAAATTATTTGTATTGCCACCTATCTGGTTATTTTCTAATTGGAATATAAATAAACACATTGTTCTAATTAATTTTTTTAATTGTTAAATTTATTTGCAGAATGTCCTATGGCGTAAAGGATGGCCACTTACAACACCAACAGGCGAAGTTATTCTACATTTGGGAGCTCTTGATGATGCCTTAGTACGACCAAGCGATTTATACTTGTGCGTTAAAAGTGGTACGTAGATTGTTTATATACAGCTGTCTTGAGAATTGAACTTTGACAAATGCTGTGCGGAGGTCATTGATCATTTATCTAGGCCTATAAATAAATATGTATACACTATTACTACTTAGAACATAAATGCGCAAAAAGAGGCAATAAAATAGCTCTGTCATCTTAATGATCTTTAATGTTGATGACGATGAGCACACTGGAGGTGCGACCACGTCAACAAGCGAAGAAAACATTAAAACAAAAAATTGTTGGAAGTTGCAGATGGTGTTGGCATATCGGCTCATGCAATTCAGTTTTCTCGAATGTTTTAGGCATGAAGTGTGTGGCAGCGAAGTCAATTCTGCATCACGATGATGCACAAACTTACACATTATTGCTTATTCGTGATTTTTTGGCCAAAACCAAACCGTAATCATGCCTCAGCCACCATATTCACCATTCATGGCTCCAAAAACAAGTAAGGAAGGGCTAAGTTCGGATGTAACCGAACATTTTATACTCTCGCAAAGTCAAATGGTATACGCGTTTGAGATTTCTATGTGGATTGACTGATATTCTCGGTAGAAGGTCAAATATAGGCCTTGTGGTCCACATATTTAATACATAGGGACTTGAACAGTTTTAATTCGATTAAGACAACTTTTGGTCACAAGGTGGCATACTTTAAACGTATTATTCACGCAAAGTTTTACCCCGTTATAATCATTGTTGCTTTATATGCATAGTGGAATGTGAAAGAATCAGATGGAATTGAAAATGGTGTTATATAGGAAATAGGCGTGGTTGTAGTCCGATTACCCCCATATGCAATACCAACCGTCTCACGGTACCAAGAAACATGTCTACCACGTTTCATAAAGATATCTCAATTTTTACTCAAGTTAGAGCTTGCGCGGACGGACAGACGGACGGACGGACAGACAGTCACCCGGATTTCAACTCGTCTCTTCATCCTGATCAGTTATATATATATAACCCTATATCTAACTCGATTAGTTTTAGGTGATACAAACAACCGTTAAGTGAACAAAACTATTATACCCTGTAGCAACAGGTTGCGAGAGTATAAAAATTATTAGCGTTTTTGCTATTGTACAATCGCCAGTATAAAATATTTAGTTTCGAGATAAACACGTTTGAAAATTCAGGTGTAAGACCACGCGCTCTAAAGACCTTACTTTCTCACTCTTGTATCTTTCCGACTTCTTCCATTTCGGAAAATTACTTTACTAGCACATTCTTTGATATCTCTAGATTGGAATTATGCAAAAAACCAGAATCGAGTACTTGCAACCGTCACACGGGTGACCCCCTTAAAGCACAAGTGGTAATAGTATATACAATACATAGACGCTTTGAAAACAGTATATTGCTGTATATTATATTTCACTAATGCTAAAAATCAATATATATGTATGGTATGCTCATTGAGTACGCCAGGTTTGACCCCAATTGAGCTCTGAGGTATCTTCGCGAATTATAGGCAGTGGCACTTGGGCGCTGTCTTTGAGCAGGAAAACTTAAGAAGAAATATTTGCCACTAACTATGACTGTATAACAACTTCCCCTGTTTGCAACTAGCAACTAGGCGAGCTTCACAATACCATATCGATCTATCGTCACATCATTTAGCTTTATATTGAACAGATCCCAACAAATATTAAAATATTCAATAACATAAATCCAAATAAATAAAATCTATCTACAATCACTTTTCGTTTCATTTGCTTAGTGGATAAAACGAAAACGCCACAATTGCATGTGGTTTGTCGGAACGCCTCAAACGGCTTACAAATACAACAACAACAAGCACAACAGTCACACGCAAGTGTAGCGGCCACATTTGCTACCTGCGACACAGCAGCAGCAACAACAACAATTCAAAGTCATTGCATCGATTTCAACGCAACAACAACTACAACGGGAATTGCAACCACCCCACCAACACATTTAAGCGCATTAACACTCGAAATGTTGACGAGTGACGAATTGCCGCAATTGTTGCAACACTTGCTGGTGGGCGTTGAGCACAGCATCGAGCGGGTCTCGTTGAATGAGCTGCAAATGCCCGCCTCGACGACACCAGCAACAGCAGCACCAGGGCCGTTGGCATTGGATGAGGCTAACAATAATGGCAAAAGCAATAACAACAACAAAAGTAGCAGCGGCGGCAGTGCAACCAACAGCAGCTTAATGCGCTGCAGCAACAACAATACAACAACAAATTCACCAAAATGTGCACTACGACGCAGCGAATTGATCACCAAAAACAAAGTCCTCAACAACAAATTCATGTTGCGACGCCTGACCAATCGGCAGGACAGCATGAATTCCACATCGTCGGGACAGAGTTGCGGCAGTAGCGGAAGCACCTCCAGCGATGAGCTATTGCATTGCAACGGCAGCCATCACACAAGCTACAACAACAACAATAATAATAATATCACCTCGCCGAGCGTTACTGCTAACACATTGGATCCGTTGAAAATGTCTGCGGGCTCAACAAATTCGGCAAGCACCTCGCCGGCATTGCCACTCTTCTGTTTGGGCAATTCATTTCCGCACATCGATAGTGACGAGGAGAATACCGATGAGAAGCGCAGCGCGCATGGAGAAGGTGAGTGGAAATGTGATTTAAAAGTGAATTGCAAATATTTGAATGATTTGTGGTGTAGTATATATCTATGAATGTGTAGCATGAATGCGCGAGCTAAAACAAAAAACTTAAGACACGAACCTTTTCACCCATCATTCTACAAATTAAGATTCAAAATAATTAACTAAGATTGTTAAATTAAAAGAATTTATAAAGTTTGTATTACTTATTTATACAAAAATCACTTTATTAGTTGTAAATTTTTATAGGACAATTATGGTTGAAGGTAATACCACATTTATAATAATTGTTGCCTACATCCCGGCGCGCGGATAATTAAGACAAAATGGCAAACAATTTTGAAAATTATATGAAATTATATATTTGAGTAATACACTCTTGATACGAATATAAAATTCTTTTTAAAGGTCACATTATATAAATAAAAGATTTTCCTTACAAGACTTGATTTTAATCGCTCAGTATTATGTATGCTCACGTCGGTACATAGCTAAATACTTTATATGATCTCCAACATTTTTACTGGGTGTTACAAACTTTGTGGCAAACTATAACCTTTTCAGGGTACAATTAAGTTTTTTTTGTCGAGCTTGCTATAATGACAAATTATTGCCAACGAATCTAGTATTACAAGCAAAAGTATGTAAAAGAATATCTGGATACGGAAATTGAAATGGATTCAATCACCAACCTGGACCCTGTATTATGTATGTGAATGAAGCTATAACTGAAATATACAATACATCCACATACATACGAGTATGTATGGTAGAAAAGCCAATGTCTTCATTTCCGCTTTTGTACTACAATTTTACGCTTGTTAGCTCTAGCAATTTTTGTACGTTTTTATCATTGTTGCAACATTGCTCAGCTCACATGCTGCAAAGAGCTATGTTGTTGCTGTATTTGTTAGACGTTGCAAGCCAGCATATTTTTGGCCTGACATTGTTGCTTGTCATTGCTGGAACAATTTATTCATTTGTCGTCTTTTAATTTCACTAATATTTGTGGCGAACGTCCGTGGCAGCAACTAGCCGCGGAAATATGGTGGTTTTGTAGATTTTATTTAAAACTGCATTAATACAGTTTTAAATGCACCAGCGCTGCACATTATGCAATTTGCATATCTTACGTAGTTGCAAGCAGCCCGCCTGCCCGGGCCACCCTGGCGTATGAGTGACTTTTTTAAAATTATGACTCGCAAAGTCATAAATTCGATGTTTGGTTGCAAGAAAATTCTTAAAACTTAACAAAAGATGAAGAGCATGAAATAGGGAGAGTTAGAAAATTAGGGGAGGTAACGAAACAGTTCGAAAATTATAGATTTTTATAAACAAATCGTTTTTAAAAGCAAAAAAAAATAATTATTTTTAAAAATATCTGCCTTCCTGCTTTTCCCCGCTCTCTTCTCTATTAGCAATACCTTTCATTAGCATATCTACACATCTCTTAGTCACACCCTACCCATCTAAACTGCCTGTTTAATTTTTTTTTTTTTGCTTGCGTACCAGTCTTGTTGCTGACGGCAATAGACGCCCTTCGTTTTCATTTGTTGCATAGAAGGGGTTGCACTCATTGCCTTTGTTTGGTCGCTCAACAGGTGAGCATGCGCACAAACCAGACGCTTTCCTTTGCCATTGCGACATGTACAAGGTGAAGTGTTTATTTGTTGGTCGTAAAACAAAACATGATTGATTGATTGCTTTGGTAATTTTTAAATCAATTGTTTTGCATACGCACTACTTGCCGCTTGCCAGAGTGAATATGAAAGGAAAAGTTTGCGATATTGTTGGAGTGTCATTGTTTTTTGCAGTTGCAAAACAAAGCAATAATAACGGTAAATGAAGTGCAAACGTAAGTGAGTGTAGTGCTTACGTTTTTTAACTATGCACTAAATATTATTTATTATATATTTTTGTGTTGGAGTTGCCACTTGGTATAAATGTTCACTATTTTGCATACTTTTCGAGAAAGTGCACTTTTAAAAAAATGTTTTAGTGATATTTAATTTAATTGAAGTTAATAGCTTTTCTTTTGTTGTATGTATATACTCGTATAAACCTAAGTTTCTCTAGAGATATTGGCTCTTAGTGAGATTGTTTTTATTTTGAGTTTAAAAACAAATTGAATTATCTTTTTATAAATAGAATCGTGTGCGATTTTATGTTTATTTGTCTTTCTCACATTTTATATCAAATTCGCCTAAATGTAGGCAACATTTCTGAAGCAATTTTTTGGTATACACTATGTATTATACCCAACCGTCCCTCTGCTGAAATTTTGCACTCGTCGTTTTCTCAGAAGCTGCTGATTAGTGAAAACAGCGGATATCGAACCACTATAGCATATAGTTGTCATACAAGCTGACCGATTGAAATTAAGTCCTTGTATAGAAACTTTTTTTATTTAACAGGATATCTTCAAGAAATTTGGCATGAACTATTGGCCAAGACAATGCTACAAACTCCAAATATATTATACAGATTTACCAATCAAAACCAAGATTTAGTTCTCTTTATACCTTTCTATGCTATAAGAAATGCAGCTGCGAAAGGTATTATAGCTTCGGTGCAACCGAACTAGTTACGAAATACCACCACAATAACCTCGAACCAAGACTAAGTGTAGATGAGGTCAAAGCTCACCATTATTTTGAGATCGAATCTGAGCGACATATGTTGTTTCACTTTGTTGTTGGAATAATTTGTGAGAATATAGATATAGTTAAGTAATACAGCTGAACATATTTGTGGACTAAGTTCGAAACCAATTTTTTGGAATGGTTGTTACATCTCTTGTCAAAATGTGGAAAAGTGTTAAGCAAAGTATGTAAATAATGAACGAATTCTCTAAATTCTATTTTCTTTGGTTTTTAGGAACTCATAGTGTTAAGTAGCTTGTATCTTTAACCAAACATAAAATAACTATCTACCTCATAGCCTTTAAGACAAAATTTAAACGTTGATTTATTGTTATTTAAAAATAGTAAAAACATAAAAATAAAATGCCAAAAATAATAAAAAAATAAATGAATAAGTAAAAAAAAATAAGTGAGATTGTACGCACCGGCCATTTAAGGTGATTAATAAGTGAAAGGGAAAACATTTTACATTGAACTTCCGATAATCAAAACGTGGAAGAAAGCACCTAAGGAAATAACGAACAAATAAAAAGAAGAACAAACAACATTTTGGCTATGAAATTTAAAATAAATAAATAAACGCTTAAGGCTCAGCCACAGACTCTCACATAGTTTCCGCGCCGTATTTTCATCTTCTACTCAAACCAAGTAAACGTCCTCATGCAGCACTCTTAGCTTGGGTTTTTGTTTTGGTTTGCTTGTGCGCAAATGACCGGCGCTAACATTATTTGTATCATAATTTGTATTGTTGTGTTTTCGCTCATAATAATATTCATTTTTGAGCAGCAAGGTGGTTCTTTATTTTGCTCGCTTTTTCAACGCCCATGTTTTGCTTTCGCATTTGTTTTTGTGTTTGTTTTTTTTTCTCTTGCAAGGCAACAAATCGCCCAACAATTGCCCAGTCATTTCGTGCCTATGTCTCCTTACCACTTAGCGGGCCTATCTTTATCTGGAATTCGTTGTGCGCCTGGCTGCTACTCGTCGTTCATCCAAATATCGCGGAACGCTGCGTCGGCATTTGTGTGGCACGAAAAGCGCATAAAAGCGCTGCAGAGCACCAATCACGCATTAATTTTATTAACAGTCAATAAATCTGAGCAGCGCCACAATGTAGCGATAAACAAAACTACAACAACAACAACAATAAATAAAAATAAATGCAACAACAACGATGGTAACTGCTGGCAAATGCAGCGATTGCTAAAAATAACGGCGCAATACTACAACCGTTTTAGGAAAACAACTGCAATTGGCAATATTTGAGCGCACTATTTGGTAGTAGAGGCTGCGTATCGAATAAATTAATTTTTGGATGGCAACAAAGTATTCGATTTTGATACTAAATTAAGACGAACATAATTAAATTTCCGTATGTTGGACAAGGATATCGCAAGAATATTTTCATTATCTTAAGGGTACCACCTTTATATCGCAATGAATCACAATAGTAAATATTGTTGTGTTTTAAAAATATAGATGAAGTTTAGTCATCGTAAGAAGAACCTTCTTGAGGTTCTCGAAAGAGGCAAAAAATCGATTGCCTCGTACACTGCATCAGAAGTAGTCTTGTGGCTTAGGAGACCATATTAAGCCCATTATGTTCTACTAGGTCTTCATGTGGTGGAAACCGTTAGAAGAGCTATACTTCTAAGAAACTGTTCCATTGGCAGCTCTGGTCAAAATCACTACCTGTGTGGTCGCAAGATCCTTCTGATCCATCGCAAGAGAACCACTGATTATTCTTACAGTAAGGTTAAGCTCCCTTATGTATTTAACTTTACTTAACTTTGCGAATATTTTACAGATAATGGAAATTTCAAGAAAATTGGCAGCGCTCGAAAAAGTTAAAACTACGATAAATCTATATATTCAATATATATGTGTAATATTTTTTAAAGTGAAACACTTTTTAATCATGAAGCATACTTTAGATGCTGCCTATTCTTCTTTCTTCATTAGATGTTCAGCACTTCTCAATTGGTTAATTAATAGAATTGAAGTCTTCCTCTTATGACAGTTAAAGATGTCAATATTCTCTGAGCTCAATAAACTCCCGCTGACAAATAAAATAAAATTTATATATTATAGTGTTAGTATATTATATTGTAATATCATTAATTAAAAAATTTCAACTTAAACGGCTTAAATGTAGGTACGTACATTTCGCACATGGCAACTCTGTAATCACACCACTATGCCCGAATGATAAGTGCAACGATTGGTTGCCTTGGTAAGTTTGGTTGTTTAACAATTTTCCGCTGATATCGAATGTTAGTGGTTCTCTTTTCTTTGCATTACAACAACAATGAGCATTTTATTTTGCTTACACATCAACAAACAGCGTTTATTCAGACACTGA